CCCTCGAGTAGTTGCGAACTGGCTGGCTGGTAGACACACTCATGCAGCCTGAGCACATTTACCAGCCAGGCAGTTCGAAACTACAAACTGATACATCTAGTAATAATACAACTTACATAATGAGAAAATACCAGACATGTTATATGTCTGGTATTTTCTCAGTTTGTTTTTTATGTGTTTATATTTTTGGGCTGCAAAAAGCAGTATTGGAAAAAAAAGGGTTCCAACTAAAGTAAAAGGTTTGGGAAACCCTGGTCTAACCAGCTTTCTGTCTGTCTTACAGTCCATTTATCCATCCATATTTCTTAACTTGCTGGGCAAGAATATTGTGGGTGACCATATCAAAAGCTTTGCTAAAGCTGGCACTGGGGGTTTTGGGAGGACCAGAAACAACTTATTTGAATATTCATCATTTGATTAATGAATATGCAAATATGCAAATGAATATTACTGGTCCTCCAAAAGTTCGTGAATGGATTTACTGGTCCCCGTGTCAAAAAGTTTGGGAACCCCTGTTCTAGGTCAATGCATATTGGTTCTCTGGTGTTAGACTGTGTAGTTCGTCTGTGCCAATTATCCTACAGCTTCCGAATATGCTAGGAAGTAGGATGCCAGGATGGTGTTACTTGGTAACATTCATCCGTGCGTGTGTGTGTGCGTGCGTGTGAACAATTTACATGTTGTAGAAGTTTCAATCTCTAAAGGTGCACAAGATAAAAAGAAAGTGGGTAGATGTGCTAGATGGTTAGCAATTGACCTGGAAAGAAGCATCATTCTGTTGGTTGTCAGCCATGAAAATACCTGTGTGATCTAGACAGTTACCACACAAAACATCCAGACCTCTCACAGAGGAAAAATCTTTTCATTGTTTGGATTTCCTTTGAATATTAAATTTATATTGGATCCTTTAAGGATTTCCTCCAGGCTGATTATTTTAAAGAAAAGTAAGATGCATGCAGCATTCTTAGATTAGATATGTAATATAACCAAAACTTCTTATCATGACAGGTGGAAATTTCTACTGAAATTACTGCCTTTACACCTATTTGTGTTCACCCTCCATGGACTTAACTTCCAAAAGCTGACTGGTAAATTTGGGTTTTTCCATTTTTGGCAGCCAAACTTTGAACAAGCTTAGTTTCCAAAAAGTGCTGGGCTCTCAGAATAAGCCTGATGGGCACAGGTAACAAATCAGCCTTTAGATTGTCTGCATAAGATGCTTTTTCCTAGCATTACACTAAATAGCACAATATAAGAACACAGAGCAAGAGGTACACTAAGCTTAAGAACTGTTTCTAGTTTAAACTAGTATTCTCTGCATCAGTAGGATTCTTAAATTAAATCACTGATGTATCATTAATGGTGATGGGGTAACCACAATGATATTTTAACTCGATTATTCTGGTAAGTTAAAGTGTTTTAAACTGGAACATTAATATCTCTCTTCTGATAGGTAGTGAAGCGTCTAATGGATTGCAGTGCTAAACCAAATAAAAAAGATGTACATGGAAATACTCCCTTAATGTATGCTTGTTTGAATGGCCAACATGAGATTGCTGCTTTGTTGTTAGAGGTAAGACTTCTTCACAGAAAAGTTTGTTCAAATATTTCTTGTGATATTTAAGATGCAACATTGAATATTACATTTACTGAATACAAAACATTAATATTAATACCAATAATGCATTTCTCCTTTAAAACTGCATCTCTCCCCTATTAATTCCATAACCTATGGTGTTTAGTTTAGATAAGTACTTCTGTTATGTAACGTATTATTTCACAGCTTAGTGCCTGGTGTCTAGTTTTCCTGAACATGGTGTATGTCATCAGAATTACCAGATAACTGGTAACACAGGCTGATCATATACCAAAAGCATTTTTTCTTAAAAATCTCTTACAGACTTCACCAATACTGGGTGGTGAAATATGCAAAATGAGATGAGTTGATTCATGAAATTAAGAGGAAATGATCACTGTAGGACGGTTTATTATTGTTGAACTTATTGTGGAAATCTGTACTTTCTGTATATAATTGTACAGTTTCTGATCAGTTGTTTTGGCATATTAATCTGTGTGTTTTTTTAAAAGGGAATATGGTGGTATGCTACCTCCAACTGATGCTATTTTTTCCTTATAACATTTAATTTCATTTTTTATTTTTCCTTCCAGCATGGGGCCTCTGTTAACCTTTCTAACAGCAAGGGAAATACAGCACTGCATGAGGCTGTGATAGGAAAACATGAAATCTTGGTAGAGCTGTTACTTCAGAATGGTGCTTCAAACCGCATTAGGAACAAAAGGCAGTGTACACCTCTTGACTGTGCTGAGTTGGTAGGTAAACAAAGTCCACTTCTGGTCATTTTTGTCCCAATATCAATAAAGCTGTAGCGTTCATTTGATAAATCTCATTTTTATTAGCATCTTACAGTATCAGTATCATTTCTTTCCTTCCCTTTCAGTTTTGTTTGATCACAGGTCTGTTGAGAATTTCCATTTCCTTCTGTTTGAACAGACACATTTAACTTGTTAAGGGGAATTCTAGCTCTGTTTCTAGAGGACTAGAAATGGCTTTATTTAGGTTCTTTAATTGCATGTAGAACTGCAGTTAAAGCTCAGAAGAACTGTCTGGCTAAAATAGCATGTACCTCCAAGGTACTGTATTGCAAACATATTAGCAAATGCAAAATAGAAATGGGGCATCCATCTCTCTTAGCTCTTACTGAAGAACTGCCATTGGTTACTTAATGAAATCCATATATAGAAAAACATGCCATCAGGGAGGGGGAGGACAAAACAAAACATGCTTTAGTAAAACAGGATGGAAGCTTTATGGCAAGTAATTCTCTGACAAATTATCACTGGATGTATTTCATGGTGGGGTGAGTCAGAACAGTCTGAACTATCATATTGTGGAATACTAGAAATCTTTTGCCTCCTTTTGGAGGATCCTTGTTTGATTTATTTCTGAAATTAAGATGACTAGATTGCAATAGCAGAGCTTATGGAATACTGGGTGAATTTCTGCATTAATTTAAACCTGGGATTAAAATATTCATGTAAGTGTAGGTTTGTATTTATAAAGTTACATATCATGCTGTTTTTTGTGAACCATTTTGGCTTAAAATGATAAACCAGCACATTCTTTGTGCTGATTACTGGAACCCTAAATGTGTACCGATGTTTTCTTTCTTTTAACAATGGTGAAAATGAAAACTGTTGTTATTAAGAATTCAAATACCATGAAGTTGCTACAAACAGCACCAAGCTGTGCACCATCATCAGCAGAGGGAGAAGAAATAGACAATGAGCAGCATGTTACTGTCAAGATCAGGAAAAAAGGTATGTGTCACATTTTTATTAGTATAAATTTCAAGAAGAGATTAAGGGATGAATATGTGCTCGATCAGATATTGTGTAGTATTTATTTTATATATACTGTAGTTTTAAGAACCAGTTGGCTGTTACATACTGTTTGTTACATATAACACCTAAGCCTACTGTAAGGCTACGTCTACACTGGCCCCTTTTCCGGAAGGGGCATATAAATTTCATGAGTCGTCGTAGGGAAATCCGCGGGGGATTTAAATATCCCCCGCGGCATTTAAATAAAAATGTCCGCCGCTTTTTTCCGGCTTTTAAAAAAGCCGGAAAAGAGCGTCTACACTGGCCCCGATCCTCCGGGAAGTAGGAATAAGAGCCTCCGGAAAAGGGCGCTTTTTCCGGAGGATCGGGGCCAGTGTAGACGCTCTTTTCCGGCTTTTTTAAAAGCCGGAAAAAAGCGGCGGACATTTTTATTTAAATGCCGCGGGGGATATTTAAATCCCCCGCGGATTTCCCTACGACGACTCATGAAATTTACATGCCCCTTCCGGAAAAGGGGCCAGTGTAGACGTAGCCTAACTGAAAAAGATTGAAGGAGGGAAAGTAAGAGTACCTTGTATGTTTGATGTTAGTTTGTGTAACTTTCATAGTCTCCTCTGGGGTAGTCAGATTTTTCTTTTTTGTTTGTCAGTCTCTCTCAAATGCACTAACACAGAAGATACATTTAACAATGGGTGGTAACATGATAGCAGATCCATCACAACTGGTGGTAAATTGAGGAGAGGGTGGTACCTCACATTGCTTTTAGTTTACTTTTTTAAATTGTGACCGGATTTCATGTTGGCTGTTCCTTTTACACAATATGGAAACTGTACAGAGAGGTCCATTTGTGTCTATAAGAGGAGAAGAGAACTTGTTAATTCAGTATTTCTGTTTGCTCATTAATAGATGTAAGGATAAATTTTTATGAGAGGTGTGAGAGAAGAAAAGAGGGTTGTGTTCAGGGGAGCCAACAGCCTCCACAGACCCCTAGGCAAGGGGAGGCTAGTGGCTCTGCTTCCGGGGAAGCTTCACTGTGGCCTCTGCAATATAGTATGCGATGTACTGTTAGCCCTTTGCATCAGGGGTTCATTTACACTGCAGTTAAAACCCCTGCCTGCCCCTTGTCTGCTGACTCAGGCTTCTGGGTTTGGTTAAGAGGCTGTTTAATTACAGTACAGACATTCAGTTTCTGGTAGTGGACCCTGTGAGAGAGTGGGTCTGAGACCTCAGGCTCCAAGCTTGAACCCAACCATCCATACCACAATTAAACAGCCCCTTAGCCCAAGCCCAGGACATCTGCAGTGTAGATATAACAAGAAGTCTTTGAGAAGCTAAGTGTTTTTCAGTCTTCTATAAGGAACCACGATTACAACTCCTAACATTATTTATTTTTATATGTTAATTTTGAATGTGGTGTCATAACCTCCTCCAGGATGAGTGGAACTATAGTTTTACTTTTTTTTAGTAGCACCCAGAAGTTTGAAGTCAGACATATAATTTTGTTCGTTTTGCCCTGAGGAACAGTGATAAACTAAACTCAGCATTCTTTCTAAGTAGATTGTATCCATATGGATGTTTTGCTCTGCTTGCCTGTGCTTCAAATGTAAGCTCATCTTCTTAAAAATGTTCACTAGGAGAAAAAAAAATCTTCTACCAAAATTAGTGAACTTATTTAATAAAAGAAACGTCAATATTGATTTTTGAGGACTGTCTTTTCAGTCTTTCTACAAATCTATGTAGCTTTGTTTGTTATCACAGGTATGAATACTAACTTTTTTTGGACAGGATAAGTTTGAATCAAACTCTTAAAATAATTGATTTACAATATTGTCCAAATGCATGAATACAGTTTGGTTTTCAGTATTGCTGCTATTCTCAAAATTACAATGCTTTTCCTGTTACAGGACTAATTGCACCTTTTCATGAGAAATAAATTTTTAAAAAATCAGAGTTTTAGTAGTAGTTTAAAATAATGTTGGAAGCCAGTTAGAATCCCTGGTACACAACGTCCATCTATCTTAGGAAGGTTGTTGCTTTGACAGTGGTCACAAGCTCCAGAGCAGGTTTTTGAAGTTAGAATGTGATACTAGAATCAGTCTCTAGGCCTCAACATGAGATCAATTTAATCATAATACATCAAGGCTTTACTTAGTGGGATTTCAGATTTTAATTGTGGATCAAGCAGTAGATGCGATGATTCTGATATTTACATGAAACCGAGTCACTGCTTTAAAAAAACTTTAGCCAACCCCCAGATTTAGGTGAGCTTTTTACAAATGTTTGTGGCCATTTTCTGATACGTTTTCTCTTAAGAAAGACAGCAAATGTTTTGTATTTTAATATGAAAGGCAGAAATACTACTTTCAGCAATGATGGAGATAGTGTCATAGCAGGAGAGCCATGACAAATTACATCTGAATAGCACTGGGATTATGTGGCATCAACTGATTCTGACTTGGAACTTTTGAGCTGAAGTCCTTGAACTCAAGAACTATATTTACAACAAAATGCCTTTGTGAGGCTGGGACAGTCATGCTTATCTGATCAGAGTTATGCTTTTTATTTTTACAACTTAAAATGGCTCCAATAAGAAGAAAATGTGACTTGCTCAGATGACTTCTATTATAGTTTTAATGTTATTTTTAAAATTAAATTCAGCAGATACTACCACTTTATTCAAAACTGTTCTAGCTTGATTCTAAAATAGGATTTAAATGTAATTTCCCACCCACTTCTCTATCTCTCCCACTTGTTTTTTGAACCTGTAGTAAAGGTTAAGCTATCTGAGACAGCAGATGATCCCATCAGCAGACGACTTCAACTGGTTGAATCCATCAACAGATTTAACAAGTAAGCATAGCAGCTCCCTTGGAAATACCACTGACATTTCCAAACAAGTAAGAAACACAACTTTTTAAATGAAAAAGAAAAAAGTCTATATTACATTCCAGATTAAACCAGCTTTGGCTGGATTTTTCAAGCAGCGTAAGGAATAATATTACATATTCTCATTAATTTTAATGTGTGGCAAAATCATCTAGACTACTCTGTAATCTCCTCTAAGCAGTGCTTCACTATTTGAAAACTGTGATGATGTCTCTATTGATACTTTCAGATACTTGTTTTTAGGCTCTTACACATTTAAAATCCAAAGTGTATTCTATTCTAAATAGCTCTTTATCCATAGAAAATACTACAGGTGAACCTCCCTGGTTCGACACCCAGGGGCCCGATCCCAGGAGATATTTTGCTGGACCAGGAGAAGTCATATCTGCCCCCTCCCACCGCTACTGGCCTCCTTCCCCCACAGCTCTGGACCTGACAAAGGCCCCACTGCCTTGCCGGTCTCCATCCTCTCTTGCCTGTCACGCTGAGCCACACAGCTGGGGTGTGTGGCCTGCCGGGCAGCGCTGCCGAGGTGCCTGGCTGCACTGAACAGTCCTGGTAGGATGCGCCCAGCAGCCCAGCTGCAGGGAGCCTGGCTCAAGGCCCTGCTGGCAGCTCGCTGCCAGCATCCCACAGCCATGCCAGCCTGCGAACTAATAGGCACCAGCATTCCATTGGGACTCTCTGGCCCTGCAACATCTGTGGTTGTCCTGGATCAAGGATGTTACCGAACAAGCAAGTACCGGTTTCCAGAGGTTCAGCCTGTAATAGATTTTTTTCTGTTATTGTTTTTACTACAAACACACAATTCAGATACCAGATCTTTGTATGTTGTTGAACTGTTGCCATCTTGTGGCTAATAAATCCACAAGATTATGTTGCAGAGAGACTGCAACTACAAGCATGTTGCTTTATAGTTAGTTCTAATCTTTTTTAAATATATTTTTAGATCAAAATATTTACGGAGAACAATAACAAGAGATAAAAGTGTCCCTAATTTTGATGATGAATTATTGCATCAGGTAGGAGAAAATGTTTGCTTGAGTTCTTTGTATAGCAGTTTTATTTGCTTCTACACTTATGGAGTCCTCGTGCCAGTTCTTACATCTCCTCCTGTGTAGTCAGTCACTGGTTACAGGCCCCAATTGTGAGTTTTCTGTGTTAAACCCAGAGCAATGTGGGATATAAATCTTAGACGGCCAGAAAATATGAGAAAAGAGCTGTAGTCAAGCGAGATAAAACTGACATTATTGGGGGGGTATCAATTTTTTTGTAAAGTAGATTGATCGAGAGTCCTCAAAGGGACTGTTGAGATGGAGACTTTGGTGTTGAGATTAAAGATGGCTCTTACATTGTAAGCACTAATGTGCCCATTGTTAGGGAGAGACTGTTTGCAAGTAATTAAGGCAGCAAACTGGGTCTTGGAATTCTTGAGTTCCCAGCTCTGCCACATATTTCTTTTGTAATTTTGGGCAAGTCACTTAATCCAGCTACCTCTGTTTCCCCACCAGTAAAATAGAGGAATACTTCTCTGCTTAAAAAAGTTAGAAGGCTTTGTAAAGCCCTCAAATGAAGGTGCTCAGTCTGTTAATTACTTCTTACCTATATAACCATAATGCAGCAACAATTTAACAGTGGGATTTTGGATTTTTTTTTGGTTGTGGGTCAGGCAGTAGGTCATACCAAAATGGTGGTTTCCAAACATTGCTGTGCGAAAACAATAAACAGCACTTCTGCCGTTTTGGCTGTTATAGCATTATGATTTTATTAGAACTAGAAGTTCTAAATTATTTACTGTTAGAATTTTGGAGATGTCCATTCTGAAACTTTTGTAAGATCTTCTTTTCAGCAAAGTTTTTGTTAACAAAGACTTTTTAAGTTATTCTTATTTATAGAACATCTAGTGCTAAATATACCTGGACTTTAATCTGTAATTGTAATTACTTTAATTTCTGAAAATTAGCCAGAGTACCAGGAGAACCACCCAGTTTGCCAAGCAGAACATAATCAAGATGGGGAAGAGCAGGTATGAAAAGGAGGAATAGGACAGTTAAAGATGCAGTGACTAAAAGGGAGAGGTCCTGAAGACAGTTACAGAGAGACTCTGGCAGACAAGGATCCTGCCTCCAGTCCAAATACATCCTGAAATCTCAATTGAGAGTGATGACAATCTGGGTGATCTCAGTGGTCTCAGAGGTAGAAAGGGTGGTTGTTTTAAGTACTCGGGTGCTTGATTTAGAGAGGTGTTGTGGACAGAGTACCGAAAACGAGAGAGCTTGAGTTTTATACCTAGATCTTTTGTTGACTCTTTGTATAGCTTAGGCAAATTGCTTAACATCTCTGTGCTTGTTTCCCCATATGCAAAAAGGGGATAATGGGTATGCTTCTTTGTAATTCACGGCTATATATCCTTAATATTTTTGGATAATAATATATAACACAAGTAGACCTTGGAATGAATCAGTAGGCTTATATTTAAGATGTAGTCTTTTGACTTTTTATAGGCAGAGAAAACCACTGTGCTTTTAACATGTACCATTTCTTCCTCCTCACAGTTAGCTATTAAGAGATTTGATAAGACCAAGTTAAAACCTATTGACCAGAGGCTGGACCAGAGCAAAGCTAAGATTGATGCAGAAAGCAGTGGTGAATCTGTGAAACATGATGATGTGATAGATGCTCTTCTTAGAAGAAAACTAATGCACCGAAGACATACAGTTAGTGTGGCACTTTCAACAGCGGCTGTCAGTGAAGGGAGTGATTTGTCTAACACAGGAATTCCAAGTATTGCACTGGCAAAAGACTGCTCTGATGACTTGCTATCAAAACACTAATAAAAAAGTGTGAATTTGCTGCCACAAACTAAAGAACCAAGTTATACCAGTTTCAAGATCCTCCTGTTGGACAGTAAAGAATTAAATGAAGCATAGAAACTGTGTTTTCAAAAATGGATCACAAGACTGAATCTTTAGCAGACACAGACTGTTCCCGTATCAATTGCACTTTTGAAGACTGAATCCTTTCAGTTTTTCCTGGAGACCCCTACCCAGCCAGTTTGTCACTGATTTCAGGAAAGAGACATAATGTCAAAGTATTTAGACAGAAAAAAGTGACTGTTTCCCATTCTACAATCAAAGCACTTAAGAAATTACTTATATCAGTAGAGGAGAAAAAGGCTATATGGTACTTTCCAACCGTCCACACCTGTTTTTTAAAAGGCATTGAATTTTTTTTTGTTACTAAATTGGTTAAATTATATTTATTGCCAGAAGGAATTCAAAAGTCTTTATTTTATTATATTGCTAAGTACTGCCATAATGTTTAATAGCATTTTAGAAATTAATGTAATGCCTGTATGTTGCAAGTAGCTAAACAAATAATTCATAGAATCTACAACAAGATGTAAAGACATTAAAATGAGATGAACACGAAGGGAAGTGTCCTGCAGTCCCTATGCAGACAAAGCTTCCACTGATTTCAGTGGGGCACTTGCATGAATGGGGTCTGTGGGATTATGCACTACTGAGGATAGAATAATGTAAAATGCTCTCGACACTTAAAAATGTTCAGATTCCAATTAAGATGAGCATGCTTGTTTCTGCACAGAAATGCATAACACAGAGCGCTGGCTTTTTCCTTTTAGCAAATCAGATAAAATCTCACACATTCACATCTCTACAGATGGGCAGAAATCTACAGCTACTAGGTAAGTGATCTGGCAGGAAAAGTAAGAGTTTGCAGAAAGTGGCTGCATGTTATCCTGTTTTTAAGGGTGATCGTTTTAAAGGATACTCATCAATAACACATGGAAGCTTAGATTTGGAACTTGTTTCTTGACATGTTTTCAGTTCAAAATTGGTTTTAAAGTGTGAATTAAAAAGAGAAACACTTCAGTAGCACAAATCAGGATTCTTAATGTCATAGTTTTGGTTTACACTTGGTCACATCCAATTAATATTTTGTTTCTTTTATAAAATGGTAACAGACAATTTTGATTATTTTTTATAGTGGCATTGATAACATGCTTATGGCACTGTGAAATTGGAGGACTTTCCATGTGACTGTTTTCAAATAGATTTTAATGAGCGAAAAGGTGCAACGTGTGTGCACATCTCTGAAAAAACTCTGATGAAGGTTGCATGTGTATTTTTCTAAATAATTTGGGTTCATTTAATTTTCTAACGTGCCTTGGATTTGTGCCAAATGATGGAAAAGAAAAATAGTAAAAGTAATAATTCTTGAAAATCTTAACTTTGACTACTTATTTAAAAACCTGACTCCTTTTGGCACTTTCTTCTCACGTTTGTTCTTCCGATATTCAAAGAAATGGCCTAAATGTAAGTAAATTTAGTGACATCTTAAACCCACCCAATGCAAGATCTTCCTTTAGTAATAATGAGACGGTTAATGTTGAGAAAGATGGGGAGCATGGGTGGTGGGTACAATAGGCCAACGAAGGCTGAGTTGCCTTGGATTTGCTGCTGAAAACCTCTTTCCCAAGACCCCCTTTCCACCTGCTACCTAGAGATGTAAAATCCTGTTTGATTAACCGGTTAAATGTGATGTTTAATTGGTTAACCCACTAAAGAGGGCAGAGGCAGTCCCTCACTCCCACTGCAAGCAATGGCTGCTCCAGATGGCTGGAACAGCCCCTGTCCACTGCAGGCCCTGAGTAGCCCTTTACACACAGCAGCTGGGGAGCTGCTCCAGCCCCCTCCAGTTAACCAGAAATGGTTAGCATCACCCAGTTAAGAGTGATGCTTACTGGTTAGCTTTTCACATCCCTACTGCTGCTGCCTGCCTGCCGTGTAGTAAGATCTCTACTCAACCACCCGACGTCTCTGCTGCTTGTTGTGTCCCTCTCCTCTTCGAGGGGAAGAAAATGAAGAAGTAAATAGGAGAGTAAAGTGGCTTGGCCAGGCACTGAGGCTGGCCTACCATTGGGAACACTTGGGGTGGAGGCATGGCTGGGTGGAGTGTTTGGGGCTCAAGTATACAAGGACAGTGGGACTAGCCTTCCTAAAGCACCATCCATGATGAGGAGAAAAATTAACCGCATTTTATACACTGCCGGTACAGCCTAGTGGCATAGCCTGAGTGGATCCAAACTTTGGATGGGTTGGTGGGTAACGACTGGAGGGAGAGCAGCAATGGAGCCATCTTACCCACTCCCACAGCTAGCTTTGGAAGAATGAGAGGAATAGGTGCTCTGGCCAGGGACCCTAGGAAGATAAGCCACCATAAAAATTTCTCTCTCCATCCACTTTGCTTCTCTTTCTGCCTCCTAGTAGGAGTGGGTCTTGGAGCAAGTGCCAGATTGGGGGACTTAGGCTTGCAAGTCTCCAACTCTGCTCCATGTCAGGAGCACCAGGCAGCTAGAGCAGAGCAAGCCCCGGTGCTCTGACCCCGCTTCCCCTGGGAGCACTGGGTGGGTGGCAAAGCAGAGCCACTACCTTGGCCTAGCAGGAGCACCAGGTGGAGAGGGGCAAGCTCCCACAGTCTGATGGGAGCGGAAGCAGGGTTGGGGCAGGTGGGCCTGTATGCTAAGTGGGTGGGCCCACTTGTGACTATGCCCCATTACAGCCTACAACTACAGACTAAACCCCTGATAATCACAGATTTAAACTGTATAGGCTTCTCATGTCTGACTTATTTACAATGAAAAAACAAGACTGTTACTGTAAAACCAGTTTGCTCTCTGAAAGGAGTTAAAGCTTATTTGTTTTTAATAAGTGCTATTAATTTCTCACCAAACTAAAATTAAATATTTGCTTTTTAATATGAAGAGTTATACTGAGCTATCACTTGCAGGCAATAGTGCTTAGCTTCTACAATTGAGTACCATTTTAAATAAGGAAGTTTGTAATTTAGACTGCAAGCTCAAAAACACAAGTGACATACACTAGTTGTACTGATCAAAGTTTACTGATTGACAGATGGAAAAAACCCTCAATACTGCTCATAGTTTTTAAACAAAATTTTAATCAGTTCCAAATCATTACAGTTAGAATACTGTATTCTGCTGCTTTTCAATGACACAGCAGAATACAACTCTTCTCTTGTAGTGAAATGTCACTCCCTTTTCAGTTTCACTTCTATCATCACACAAGATGTTACAGTATTTATACCACACATTTTCACACTGCATTTTCAAAGAAGACAACACAGGATCAGATTTACTTTATGCATGCAAGAGTTTCATGTAATTTAGAACAGTTGTCTTTCCTTATTTGACAATAATAAACTCAAACCATTTAATAAATGGTAGAATAAAGATCATGTGTTAACTATCTGAACAGGGCTGTATTACATTACTCAATTAAATTTCAACCACTACTGAGTATCCACGTTTCTCAACTTTTTAACCTCATTCTGAAAGAACTTGAGTTTTCAGAAGGAACTGGTTCAAACTATAATTTTTCATCTAGCAGACTATTTTGTGAGATGTCTTTTCAAAGAATCATGTCTCTTCTCAATAATTGGTTCGTCAGCTGTTGCATTCTGCAGATTCCAACAAAATATTTCACCAGCCATAGACTGAGAATGAGTGAGGTTTTGGATAACCCCTCTACTAGAAGATACTAGTTAATTTAGAAACAAAGTGAGACATTGAGAGAGTGGACATTCTTTTAAGTCCTGTGGGCTCTGGCTGTTTGCAACTTCCAAGACACCTCATGGTAGTAGCAATTTACGGAGTGGCAGGTGCTGATAGCATAGCTTACATGCTAAGTGGGACAGAGGAAAATTCATGCTAAGGAAGTGGTGGGAGAATCCATACCACACAGCCCTCTAATACTTTAAAAAGGTAAGCTATAAAAACTCCTTAGATTTTATTTTACAGAACATGAGTCCATTTTTAACCTTTATCAAAAACGTATGCGGAAAGCAAATACATGTAAATATTTTGTCAGAACTTTCATTTTGCCTATACAGTATGTTTTGTTTTCCTTTTTCCAGGCAGTTTGGCATTCTTACAGTAGCATTTAATCATCATCATCCTCTTCATCAGAATCCAATACTTTTCTTCTGTTGAACTAAAAACAAACATTTATAAAGTACACAAATTCAGTGTACAGCAACTCATAACTTCAAAGATTCAAGAATCAAGTTAATCGCTAATGGCAAAGTTCTCAATGCGTGGCCACATTAGTAGTCCAAGTATGTGCTTGTGGGGATGGAATCTAGAATCTTTCCCCTCCTCAGCATGAAGAAAGAGTAGTGAGAACTTACAGAACTGTAGTCACTACAGGCTCCTGCTCCTTGTAAAAACGTTTGTATCCAGTGTGGGTTGGCAGGCCCTACCTCCCCAACCAACAAGCCTTCCCCTGGAACTCTGCTCCAAGGTATAGGGTGGCAGTCCCCAATACAATACAGGTTGGACCTCCCTGGTCCAGCACCCTCGGGATCTGACCAGTCCTGAATGAGGGATTTTGCCAGACCTGGGAAGGTCAATTGGTGTCCCTCTGCTGATGGACTCCAGGATCTCCCGGAGTCCATCAGCAGACCCAGCTAGGGTTCCCTGCGGGCTCCATGCTCCCACCTAGCTCCTCTCCTCTGGCTTTGTGCTCCAGTTCCGGCCCCAATCCTGGCTGTCAAACAGGCTCTGAACCCCCAGCCAGGCTATGCTGTCAGGTCTGGCCCCAGCTGCCAGACTGGCTGCATGCTCCCAGCCGGGCTGCACTGTTGGGTCCAGCCCCAGCTGGGCTGTGCTGCTGTCAGTAGCCAGCCTCCACACCCCCAGCTGGGATGCACTGTCAGTCCAGGCCATAGGGCTCTTGTTCTACTAAACCACAGATAGTCCAGGACCACAGAGGTTCAATCTGTATGCTATAGAACTATTATGGCTTTGCTGAGAGTTTTGGTTTGTTACACATTTAGAAGAAGGAATATATGCTTAGGCATTTATATAGCCTATCACAAATTCCCAGAGCCTCTTAATACTGCAGACGTAATGCAGATTCAGAGTGAGCATCACCAATGGTGTAGACAATAGGAAAAATAGCTAGCACTAAAATATTTTCCACCTTTAGTGGCCAAAGGTAACTTCCAGAGTCACGTACTCTGGTTAATTTTGTACTACTCAGAGTGGATAAAAATCTATGATATAAATCAAAGTTAGATCTAATTTAATACTCTTAAAATAATAAAATTAAATTTGAAATTAACCTACACTAAGGACTAAACTTACTATAATCTATTGCTCATTACACAAACAATTCAAACAGTACATATTTGCTGCCAAAGATTTAAAGAAAGTTAATCATCTGAAGCTGACAAATCATGAAAGAAAGCCCCATAAATAAATTAAGCTATTTTCTAACAAAAATGTAAAATTAAGAATCTACATAAGAACAGCCATACCAGGTCAGACAAAAGGTATATGTAGACTAGTATCCTGTCTTCCAACAGTGGCCAATGCTAGGTGCCCCAGAGGGAAAGAACAGAACACACAAACAAGTGTATTTTTAAGAATCTGCATAGCTTAAACGTACATATAACATATCCTCCTAAAATAGCGTTAAATATATGTGCAGCAACTATTGTCAAACCTAGCCTACTTTTCTGCATTGTCTGAACTATGCTTACAGGGCCTTTGGAAAAAACCTACCTTTACTGTTGTTTTCTTTTCTGTTTGCTGGCTCACTTTTTCAAGTATTTCTATCAACCCTTGTTCTGATACCTAAAAAGGAAGAATAAAAGCCATACACAATTCATTTGAAGAAGTTGCCTAGATTCAAGCAATTGAATATAGCACAGTTGCTGTCCTGCAGCCCTTTCCCCATTGTACACTTTCAAACGTGTAAGTGGCTATTGAGACTATAATATACTGTTCAGTGGCTCACCTGCCATAAGGCTGATTACCCATGAAAATATTACTGCTGCTAGAAGATATTCCTGTAAGAAGCTACAATATGGCTCGCAGAAAACTGCAGCATTTCCATACCAATGACAGCTATTTTAAGTTACTTATTCACAATAACTTGCTCTCAGACCATATTGCCTCAAAAAGCCCTGCTGCAAGGGGTCATGGGCCTGGTCTAGAGATTAAGTGCAATTTCTAAAGCCCTGTGTTTCATTTACAAAAAGTGTAAGTGTCCTATTTCCTCTAGTAGTTCTTTAGTTTCTATCTCCAGGAACTTTAATTAAAGTTGCTTTCTGCAGTGGCGGGAGGCCTCCCTCAAAAATCAGGCTGAAAAATACTGCTTTCCTTAGACAAAAATCAGCATTTGGTCTTGCTGCCCTATTGAAAGAACAGCAATTTGTGAACTGAATTCCAAATCTCTCCCACTATTAAAAACAATACCTTTTCCTGTGGGCAACAGTGCGACAATCACATCACTCTGTATCGCCCCGCCCCTCAGCCTGAGTGTAGTACTCAGAAGGGGAAGCAGCCATGGCTTAGGGTTTCCCCAGTCCCCTGGCCTCCCCGCTGGCCCCCAGTTCCCCTACTGGAGAGTAAGGGGGTGGTAGTAACACCTCCTGGCTGTGCTCGTGGGTCGCGATGCTTCGGGACCCAGCAAGGAACCATGGCTTCCACACGGCCTGTACTTGGGCTGCTGCCTCTCTGGTGCTACAGCCTCAAAACTCCCCTCTCCTCTCCTCCTCCCCCGCAAGATTACGCCACGACAAGGGAGGGGGCTGGAGAGCCCAGGGGCAAGAGGCTGGGGCGGGCATGGCCCAGCAGTGTGTGTGTGGGAGAGGGGAGTAGGAGAGGGCGCTGAGAGACCAGGACAGGCTGTGGTGGGGGAATTGGGAGGGGGTGGCAATAGGCCAGTGCTGTTGTAGCCACAGGATCTGTCCCTCACCTCCTCAGTGGCCAGGGGTGGGAAGAGAGGCTGGGGCTGGCATGGCTGTGGCTCTCTCTCCGTTTGCCAGTGGCCAGGGGGCTGAAAGGCCAGGGCTGGCGCGGTCCTGGCCCTTCTCTGCTTGGCAGCCAAGAGGCTAGGATTGGTGTGGCCCTGGCTCTCCCCTCCCCAGTGGCCAGGGCGGGGGGCCCAACAGGCTGGGACTGGCACAGCCCTGGCATCCTGGGAGGGGAGGGGAGGGGGGAAGGAGTTGGGTCTGCCTACCCCCAGACATGAGGGGGGTGGCAAGTATAGCCATCAAGGGGCACCGCTCCCTAATAACCTTAAACATTCTGGATAACGTCACACTGTAGAATCATGAGGTTCCCCCCTAAATGAGTGAACCCTGATGGTGAGACAGGAATATTAGCTAGTTCATAATAGGACTAGTTGCAAAATTTTATTCACTTAGAATTACAGCCAATGTTTGACCTTTAGATTTGTACAATTACAGTACTTAGCTAATAGCTCTTAACATCCAGGGTAGAGAAACTTCCTCTCCCCAAGATGCATATGATATTTTGGAAAGCCATCCAGGTAGCAAAATTAATTACAATGAAGATACAATATAACTCTATCATGTTTGGGGTACCCCTTGTCTTTGTGGAAGTTGGTAAATGTGTGTTGGCTGTCACTAGTACCTGTAACTCTAGAACTCCCCAGTTGCCTCCACATGGGCCATTGGTCAATGTCACAAAGAAGAAAAATGCTTTCTACTACAAGACTGAGTGATCCTGAGCATTAAACTTGACTTTTCTTCTCCAGAAAAGCACTTCAGTTTAAGACAGTAAAATCATAAATATTTTAAAATAAGTATGGACACAGTGTTCACACAAATGTACGTTCACACACAGCTTCAGGGCTTGAGAATCATTCATACACATGTTAAGGTGTGATCTACAGCATGCAATACAGAATTTTGTACATGTCAGTGTCAATTTTTTCAGTTTGTTTCATTGGGAACACTTATTTGCCTGTTTACTTTCAAACAAAGAGCTAAAGGAACATAAGAAATTTAGCTTACCTTCCCACCTAGCTGTCCAAATCTTGCCATCTGTATAAGGTAATTCTCTACAGCTTTTGCCTTTTCTGGCTTCACAAGTGCTAAATTACTTACTGCAAAACAAATTAGTGCCGTTCAATTTTATACTTTACCACCTTCACTGAATGAACTACTTTACAATTTATTTCTAAAGTAATGTTACGGCATAAAAGAACCATGAATTGACGGAAATTGTTTTGATTTATACAAAATTGTAAGATTCTACAGATCTGCTCCTTTTAAGGATTTATTCGGGGGTTGAGATCTCGTATTCCCTACAAGAAGACAACCCTAGATACTTACCAGTTTCTCCTCACTACTAAATTTAATGCTGCAGATCACCAGCGAAGCCACATTCCTCTATCAAGTACCATCTGCATTTTTTTTTATATATACAAAGTAAAATCTCAAAATCAGGTTATGGGAAATTGGCAGTGTACAAGAATGCCTTTCGCCTCTAGGCACTTGTTCAAATCCAAATTAGATGTGACCAATCTGTTACCACAAAATAGATGGTGTTTGGCATACAAACAAATTGGGAGTCACACTCAGCTGGTCTACACTACACAGATTATCATAAGGCAGTTTATGCTGACCTAATTATGTCAGTGTCTACATGACAGCCTTCCCCCCACCAACAGGCATAAAGCTTATGTTGGTGTAGTTGGGACAACAGTGGCTGTATAGACACTGTGTCCCTTATATTGGCTATCTTGTCAATATCACATCAAGGCCAGGCAGCTAGGGTATGTCTAAACTACATGCCTCTGCCGACAGAGGCATGTAAATTAAACATACCCTCAGAGTCAATGAAGCAGGGATTTAAATATCCCCCACTTCGTTAGAATAAAAATGGCCGCTGCGTAGTGCCAGCTCAACTGTTTGTCAGCACAAAGCAGCAGTCAAGATGGGGATCGGTCGGCAAAGAAAGCCTTTGCTGACCGATTCTGTAAACCTCGTTGCATGAGGCGTAAGGGATCGGTCGGCAAAGGCTTTCCTTGCCGACTGATCCCCGTCTTGACTGCCGCTTTGTGCTGACAAACAGCTGAGCGGCCATTTTTATTCTAATGACGTGGGGGATATTTAAATCCCCACTTCATTGACTATGTGGGTACGTCTAATTTACATGCCTTTGTTGGCAGAGGCATGTGGTCTAGACATACTCCTAGTGTCCAGCTCTTCCTGCTCCCTACTGGAAGTCAAGATAAGTTGGATTCCTGTTCCCAGCTGGTGTGAGAAGGCCAAGTGGCATCCACTGGGAGCTGGGCAGCCTTGTCCTTGGCAGGGAAGGAGGAATGGAGGGAGCACATCAGGAGACTGTTCGGCAGCCAGCTGCCAGCGAAGCTGAGACACACAGCTCAGCTGCACATACACGCTGACCTCAGAGTGGGAGTATGTATGAACATGCATCGCTGCAGTAATTACTGTGATGGCTGTAAATTAATGTAATATAAATTGACTAGGTGTGTAGTGTAGACATACCCTCAATTTCCTAACGAACAGACATCCATATCTCAAAAACTCATCTTGACAACTCTCATCCTTGCATACAGTCTTGGCAGAGACCCTGATTTATTCTCTAATTCTTAGAGCTGAGCCCCTCTAAATAAAGGCTTAGCTATACCAATGGGGCAGCACAGGGATGCTGACACTTCTGCTTATTATGCTTTTCCTATGTTCTCTCTATAAACATAGAATTGGTACCTTCACAATCACCAAATTCATTAATATTTGCTCCCAATACAATAAGCTACCACATCTGAGGATTTGCTTTTTCAGCATATGCAAAACCATAATTAGTTTATTAAAAAATGGATTTGAAATCCATAGCATTAGTCTTTTTCAATCAGGTCAAAATAATGCACTTATATGCATACTGTAATGGCAAAATACATGAATGCTTACATCTGGCACGAGCTGCTTGATCCAGAACTTGAGCTAAAATACTATTTCTCATCTCTGCTTCCCTGTAATTAAAAAAAAAAAAAAAAAAAAAAAAAAAAAAAAAAATCAGTTACACAATAGAACTAAGGTTTCAAGCATCAGATATGGCATCTTGCAAGACGATCAAGTCTGCTAAATACTTTATTACCAGAATAGCCGCCAAGCACTGAAAGTCATTTCATTCAAGTAGGTACAGGTTTATCAATGATAAGGATGTTAACAAGCAGGTAACTGACTAATCATGTCGTTGATACGATTTGTGTTATGGGGGCCCACTATGGCTCTGTAGTTTATCAACTAAACGTGTAGTTAAATGTAGTAGGAACCAGGCATGCAGCTCTTACTACATTTAAAATGCAGAGCCTCAGCAGGGCTCCGGTGTGCCTCTGCCTCCCCTACCCTCCAGAGATGGTGCTGGCAGTGGCATAGCGGGGGCGGGGGAGAGGGCACCAATTTAGTCCCCCTCTGCTCCCTGTTATCCATTGGCTCCCCTCCTCCTCCATCACCCACCACCGCCAGCTGGAGCCTCCTCCTCACCCCCAGCCCAATCCTCCTCCATCTCCACCGGCAGGGGAAGATGTGGTACAAGCTTCCCCCTCTCCTGCCAGGGTCATAACACCCTCCTCCCTGGTGCATAACACCCTCACGAGGCCTCTGGGTCCTGGGGGTACTGGCTCCTGCTTCCTCAAATAGTGACTCAAGTACCTGATAAGCCTAGACTTATTGGATAGTTAACTACTCCACTAGTCACTTACATCCCTAACGAATGACAGATTACTAACAAAAAGAAGAAAATGTAATGTTTATTTGATGTATATGACAAAAATTATTTTTGGAAATTGTAAAAACAAAAATCCACAATAGCCTACAAAGAAACTAAAAAGGTGATAGTTCCCACTAACATGTATAGATACTAAACAACCTGATTCCAAGCCTCTTAGCCAAAACTCTCAAGTTTTGCTTACGTGAGGAGCCAAAGATAAAACCCTTCAACTTATCAGCGTAGCTGTTCTGTAACAAAATAACCCAGCATAGTGTTTCAAGGAACTAAAATTAATGTTTTTTTTTTCCTTTTTAAAAAAACCTATAGAAATTAAAAGTCATTAAATTATGAACACGTTACCTAAAATAAATATCTCACATTCATCATACCTCTGTTTGGTTTCTTGTTGTTCATTAGAAGGGTCCTGAAAAGCAAGAATTACATAAAATGCTTTAGCAATCCCTTTAGAAAACACTTGTGTAGGATGTGTTTTATTTGAATTTGACATAAACCAGTTAAAGTCAAATTATCATGGTCATGGTTGAGAGGGGCAAGATAGGTGAGATATCATTTATTGGATCAATTTCTGTTGATGAGACAAACAAGTTTATGAGCTTACACAGAGCTCTTTCCCAGACCTGAGAAGAACTCTGTATAGCTCAAAAGCTTGTGTCTTTCACCAACAAAAGTTGGTCCAATAAAAAAATACTACCTCACTAGCCTTATCATTCTAATACATTGGAATTGACATACCATAGTTTACATGCTGAGAATGAAAACTGTCTGCTTTAACTGATGAATGATCCATGTTTGTTTGTCCTACACATCTGCAGCACGTTTTCACCCCATCATGGTAGAGCAAACAAGTACAGTAAAACTCCAATAGTCCGGCACGCCTGATAGTCCGGCATCAAAATGGCAAGAGCCTAGTGAGTGAGCTTCAGCAAAAAATGAGTCACAAGGTAACAGCGGCAGCAGCTGAACTGAGCAAAAAGGGTAAAAAAGGCTTAAAAAACCCTAAAACATTACAGTATATTGTATACAGTATGTACAATAAAAAGGGTTAAGAACACTTTATATACAGTATATAATGTATACAGTATATATATATCCATCTTATAGTACCTCCTGATAGTCCAGCATATTTGATAATCCGGCACCACCTAGATCCCATAGGTTCCTGATTATCGAAAGTCTACTGTACCCTGATTTGCAACTAGGTTTGCCTCAGAAAAGACAATTGCAGGTTTGGAGCAGAAGGCTAGCTCAGTGAACCCTAAAGACAAAAGGGTGAGCTTTCCAACAATAGCCACAGACATCAGATCTCCTCAATTAAGCTTGCAAGTGAAGTTCAAAACTTCTAGCCTAAGAATAGAACACAAGCAGCAGGAACAGTGGTAAGCAGTCTAGAAAGGGCTTTGAAAGTGTTACTTTCTAAATAATTTGTAAAAGTCTACCTTCTCTCTTAAAAATGTTGTTTGCACTTTTTCAAAACAAAATTACGTACACAATACAGGAACTCTGTTCTATTTTACCCATGTTTTATTCAAAGAAAGTGATTTTATAGGTTGTATCTCTTCACATTCTATTCTCTTATTAATTTCTCAAAAGAAAGTTATTAAATATGGATTCATGGAAAGGGAAGAAGAGCCCCATCCCTAATAACTTCATATCAGATATGTGATTAAAAGTACTAACCATATTTCCATTTGTTATACATGAAACGGTTCCTTTGGCCACCCCATCACCAATCATTTCACAAATTCAATGATATTTACATTATTTAAAACCCATCTAGCAATGCAGGTTTGTTTCCCTTGTTAATTCATGTAACATGTCATTCCTGAAAAGCCAGGGCTAGCCTTTCGGAAAACTTCAGGAACCCCACAGCCCGACCGTTGGTGGTGAAGGTGTTGCTTGGGCACTGGGTGAAGGGCCGAGAGACAGGAATTGAGAAGGTGGAGAAACTGCCCATTCGAGGAGCTCCTTGAACCCTGAAGTGGTGAATGAGGGTTGCTGGCTGGAAGTGATGAAGGGTGGGGCAGAAAGCTGAATAGCCCCCGAGGGGCACAATGAGAATGGGGGGGGGG